TGGTGCTGTGCAAGGGCTGGGGGAGAAAAGGGGGGCGTTCTGAGGGCCCAGGGGGGCACCCAAGGTGGGGGAAAGATGGGCAGCCCCGGCGGGGGGGCCTGAAGTTGTCCCTGTGCCAATGCAGGCCGGGGTGGTGGGGACTGGGAATAGTGGAGACGGGGAATAACTCTGGGGAACCTTGATTCTCAGCTGTGGGGTGATGGAGTGTGATCAGCTGCAAGGAGTGTTGGGGTAGGGCTGCCCCCAACCAAACCTGAACTCCCCGTGTGGCACCAGTGTCCCTTGGGGCCAGATGAGCCCCTGGTACTGAGCTCCCCATCCCACCGTGGGCAGGGTCCCTGTCCTTTGGGGGGGTGGGGGGGGAGCATGGGACCCCTGGAGCTGAGCACACCCCCCCGCAGCACTCAGTACCTGCCAGGAATCAGAACAATCGGGTGCATCCAGGAAGGATTCGGCCCCTGGGATGAGCTGGCTCCATCCTGCCCCGGGGACTGTCCCTTCCCAGCTCAGTGCCAGCCCATCCCGGGGGGGTGCTGCAGCTGGGGGGACACGCGCAGACAAAGGGGGGATCCTGGGGGTGCCACGGTGACATGTCCTGCCCCTGCAGCGCGAGTGCATCTCCATCCATGTGGGCCAAGCGGGCGTGCAGATCGGCAACGCCTGCTGGGAGCTGTACTGCCTGGAGCACGGCATCCAGCCCGACGGGCAGATGCCCAGCGACAAGACCATTGGTGGGGGGGACGACTCCTTCAACACCTTCTTCAGCGAGACGGGGGCCGGCAAGCATGTACCCCGGGCCGTCTTTGTGGACCTGGAGCCCACGGAGAATTCCATGGGGTCTCACAGGCCACCCCAGGGGTGGTTGGGTACAAAGGGACTTGGGATTTGCCGGGGAGGTGATCAGGAGGTCCTTCTCACCCTGTCAGCAGTTTGGGCTGCATCAGCTCAAGGGCAGAAGGTGGGGCTGCCCCAGGAGGGACCTGCTGCCCCAGGGTGTCTGTGATAATTCTGGGCTGTCCCCAGTGCCCAGGAGGGATGCACCTTCCCTGGGGGCAGCCTAGCCCAGTCCCAGCTGGGTGCCAAGCTCAGCTGTGGGGAGGAGGATGGGAGGCCCCATTTCTGGGGTGGGGGGACAGGTGAAGCCCTGGTTTGGGTGCTGGTGCAGCACTGGTTTGACTGGTGTGGCTGCCCAAGCTCTTTGAACCTCTGGTTCCCACACTGGGGCTGGCGCCGGGGCTGGCTGGGCCTGCTGCGCCGCTGGCTCTGCCTGGGAGCTCCCGGCACATCAAAGGCTGAGCTGGCGGCCCACGGGCTTGTGGCTCCTGCTGCAGCTGTCCTGGGGAGGCCGAGGGTGTGAAGCCATGGCTGACCTGCTCCGGACCCCACTGGGGACTCTCCCAACAGGCTGACCAGTGCACGGGGCTGCAGGGCTTCCTGGTGTTCCACAGCTTTGGGGGTGGCACCGGCTCCGGCTTCACCTCCCTGCTCATGGAGCGCCTCTCCGTTGACTATGGCAAGAAGTCCAAGCTGGAGTTCTCCATCTACCCGGCCCCGCAGGTCTCCACAGCCGTGGTGGAGCCCTACAACTCCATCCTCACCACCCACACCACCCTGGAGCACTCTGACTGTGCCTTCATGGTGGACAACGAGGCCATCTACGACATCTGCCGCCGCAACCTGGACATCGAGAGGCCCACCTACACCAACCTCAATAGGCTGATAGGTCAGATCGTGTCCTCCATCACGGCCTCCCTGCGCTTTGATGGGGCCCTGAATGTTGACCTGACGGAGTTCCAGACCAACCTGGTGCCATACCCCCGCATCCACTTCCCGCTGGCCACGTACGCCCCCGTCATCTCGGCTGAGAAGGCCTACCATGAGCAGCTCTCGGTGGCCGAGATCACCAACGCCTGCTTTGAGCCGGCCAACCAGATGGTGAAGTGTGACCCGCGGCACGGCAAGTACATGGCGTGCTGCCTGCTGTACCGCGGGGACGTGGTGCCCAAGGATGTCAACGCCGCCATCGCCACCATCAAGACCAAGCGCACCATCCAGTTTGTGGACTGGTGCCCCACGGGTTTCAAGGTGGGCATCAACTACCAGCCTCCCACGGTGGTCCCCGGGGGGGACCTGGCCAAGGTGCAGCGTGCTGTGTGTATGCTGAGCAACACCACGGCCATCGCCGAGGCCTGGGCCCGCCTGGACCACAAGTTTGACCTGATGTATGCCAAGCGGGCGTTTGTGCACTGGTACGTGGGGGAGGGCATGGAGGAGGGGGAGTTCTCGGAGGCCCGGGAGGACATGGCCGCCCTGGAGAAGGATTATGAGGAGGTGGGGGCTGACAGTGTGGAGGGTGATGAGGAGGGGGAGGAATATTAGTGCCTTGTGTCTTCTGCTGCTTACACTGTGGTGCTGGTCATTAAAATGACTCTTTCCACTCTTGCCTTGTTCATTGTCCTGGCACAATCTGCCTTGTGGTGACTCGGGGTGGGTGGGGGTTGTCCTGTGGGGAAGGATGTATCCTGGCTGAGCTGTGCTGTGCTGGCAGCCCAGTCCTGCTGGGGGAACTGTGCTGGTGGGGGCTGTATGGGACTGGGGTCCCTTGGCTGGGTCCTGTGCTGGGAGGTGGCGATGCCCTGCTGGGCTGCCTGCACTGTCCGTGTGTTATCTCCCTGCCATTGTTCCCAGGGGTCCATGTAGCCTGGGTGAGATAAGGACCTGTGGGAACAGCCCCCAGGGAGGCAGGGAGCCCCCAGTTCCCTAATTCTGTCCTCGCCTGTCCCAGCAGGCTTCCTCCAGCCCCGGTGGTGGGGGTCGGAGTGGGCACTGCCGCTGCAGCCAGACTGTACCCCGTGTCTGCTGCTCCTGGCATGGAGCTCTGCAGAGCTGGATGCGTCCTGGGGTCGGGGACCCCCCTCCCAGCCCCTGGGTGGAGATCACAGAATTATCTAGGCTGGAAGACACCCTCGGGATCTTCGAGTCCAGCCATCCACCCTACTCTAAAGTTCTCCCCTACACCATATCCCCCAACGCCACATCTAAACGGTTCTTAAACACAGCCAGGGATGGTGACTCAACCCCCTCCCTGGGCAGCCTATTCCAATGCCTGACCACTCTCTCTGTGAAGAATTGTTTCCTAATGTCCAGTCTAAACCTACCCTGGCACAACTTGACATACTGACCCCTTCCCATAAGTGCTGCCTGGTGGGGGGGAGGACTCTGTTATTCCGCGCTGCCCCCACACACGATGGCTCCAGCAGAGCCGAGTCATGGCCATCCCTACAGAAAGGGAGGGGCGGTGGGGACAGGGATCCCCTCCCCGCTCCGTGGGGCTGAGCGGGACAGGACCCTACTGAGGTGGGGGCTCCGCTTAGCCCTGCAGCAGCGGCTGAGGACAGAGCTCTGCCTGCAGCCCCCAGCCCCTCTGCATCCCAGTGCGGGGGCTGCACGCCACTCCACCCCCTCCTCCACGCTACTTGGGCGGGATCCCGCACCCTTTGTTGCTGCCCTGCACCCCAGCACTCCCAGCCCCTCTCCTGGCGGGGGGGCACCCGTCCCTGCGGGCCCTGCCCAGACCCCCCCTCCCTCTGCCCGAGGTGGGGTCCGCACCCCCGACCCGTGTCCCCGCCAGCCCCGGCGCTGCCGGGCTCCTCTGCCTGCACTCCCGAGGGGGGACCCCACATTCCCGCGGGGGTTCCCGGGCCCTCTCCCCGTCCCCCTCGAGGGGATACCCGCAGCCCCCGCCCGCCTCGGCCGGGAGACCCCTCCCCTCGCACCCCCGGGTCCCCCCGGCGGGGCGGAGCCGTAGCCTGCTATAAACGGCCGGTACCGGCGGCCACCGCCTCGCTGGGACCGCCATGAGCCGCGGCGGCCGCCCCCCCGCGCCCCCGCGCCGCGCCC